CTATATCATCTATATCTATATCTATATCTATATCTATATCTATATCTATATCTATATCATCTATATCTATATTTATATCTCAAAGCTTTCTAATTTTAGTCTGTGCCATGCATTAATGGGCCTATATGATTTAAATGGGGAAAAAATCTTGGTTTTATTTGGTTTAAAATGATGTGAAGGGAGAAGTTGTCCTCAGGTGGCACAAATAGATAAGCCCACAGGTTGGTGGTTTGAGGCTCCTGAGAGGCACCTTGAGTAGGTGAGCAGGCTGGCCACCAGCTCACAGCGGGGAAGTGCTCCAAAGGCCAGGACGGGGACTCTACCTCACATATGTTTGGCTTGTTGTCAGAAGGGGCTAGATCTTAGGAAAAAACCTCATGCTGGGACTGATGGAGGGCCAGAGAAAGAGAGGAAGGCCCTCAACAAGTGGACTGACACAGTGACTGCAACAATGGGGTGGAGCTTATGATTTGTTTCCTGGAACTGAACTTGACTTTGCTATGTGGATGGGTGGGGATATGCGAAAAGAGCGTGCCAGTCTATTTATAAGGGGATTGACTATCTCATCAATCCACAAAAGGACTGGCTAATCTCTCCATTAAATTGAGTGATCCAGCAGCAGCAGCAGAAGCAGAAGCAGCAGCAGACCTTCCCTTGCCAATCAAGATGCCGCAGCAGCAAGAGAATGTGACTCATCCTTCAGCACCAGAGCTACGGCCATGGCAGACACAGAGGAGAACCGGAGCCCTGACCTGAGACAGAGCAGACCGTGGGGCAGCTGTCTCCATGGACAGAACCAGAGCTAAGCTAAGAGCCTTTGTCTAAGTGTGCTGGACAATTTGGGCGCAGGGAGGGAGAGAGCCGATATTGGCTGTGACACTGGCCTAAAGCCGCGGGGCTCAGGGCTGAGGTGCCTGTGTGCACATTTCACGTTTCGGTAGCTGTTCTGACTGTAATCTGCTACTAATCTGGGTCGTAAATGTTTGACTCTCCTGACACGGTTCTGACCATCTCTAACATGCTCGAGCCCATTTGTGAAAAAAGCAAAGTCCACATGAGGATGGTCATGTGTGACCTTTACCGACTTCGGAGAGGGGGACTGTCCTCGTCAACAGCCACCAACAAGACAACACCAAATCCCATGAGGGAATATGTCCCCTACACTCCTGCACCTCTTTATTCTCATCTCAACACCAATCTCGCTGCTTTGCTGGGTCCGAAACAGCTCATAGGCCACATAGGACCATACCAGGGAGGTCAAACGGTTATAATTCATATTAGACTTTTGTGTTTTTAAATATAGAATTTTGAGTCTGGAAATGGAAGAAAGTCTGGAGTCACCCTTGCCATCAACTAGGAATAGTTTTAAAAACTGACAAGGATAACTGTAATATATTTTAATACAAAAAAGTAGTACAAAGTATGTACCATATGTTTTGTGTTTTTTTTTAAACCCGTACCCAAACAACAAACCAAACAGCTCTGGTGACGCATGCACCCAGACTTTGACGTTATCTGTCCTGGCACCTGGCTGACAGATGGGTTGCATTGCTATTCTGTTCTTTTTGTTTCTTTGTATTTTTAAATCATTCAGCAATAAAGGAACAATACTTGCATGATTTTATAGAGCAACAATCTGCTAATTTCCATTTTATTTTGCAAAGGTTAGTGGCACTTTAAACAACTCTACACCATCATTTCAACAAGAACTTAATCAGAGGGATTAGTTAATCAAAATGCAGGGATTTCAGTGAAATTTAGAAAATTAGAGGGAATTTACAATTAAATGCAAACAGCCCTCCCAACTCCTTCTAGGCTTTAAAAACCTCAGAAAACAACAAACAATGTCTGGAGATGAAGGCAAGCTCCTTTCCACAACAAGCCAGGTCTGGAGCTCGTCCGGTGGGTAAGCCTGTGTACACTGAAGTCCGGGTAGGATGAGCAGGCTCCCTGTCCCAAGCCTGACAGACACGCTGTTTCCGTCATTCACTGGCTCTGGTTGTACTTGCCAGAGATACCCCAGAGCACCAACGGTTATCCATTCTTCATAAGGAGCCATCGTCACTCGTCTCAGCTCTCATCATGGGAGTCAGACTCAGAGACAGAAATCTTAATTTATCGTGTTCACACCATCAGCAAGGTAAGAGCAACGAGTCATCTTCTAACAGACTTTT